AGAACATAGTCATAAAACCCACCAAACGCTCTGATTTGTGTTTATAATGATTATTTAGGTTTTTACAACTTTTTTTATGGTTTACTCCAAACACACTTTAGTGACCATGAAAACAAATGTCAACATGGTAGTTGTGTTTAGTCGATAACAATACTTAAGATGTGATCATCATGTACAACAAGATCAGAGGAGAAAACATCATTGATGTTTTATGTTAAGCTTTCATATTCTTAGTTAGAATGGAATGTCGAGTAACAAATTAAATGTTATCCACTTTTTTATTTATGTACCTATTGACAGACTATATGCCATCTCAATTTCTTCTACATCCCCTGTCCATAATTGATTTACCAACTCTTCTGCAGTACAAAGTGATCTATCTGCTGATGAACCAGTGAACCATGTCTTGGTACAGTTCTTCACCCTGTCACTTTTGATCTCCACTGTCATAATTTTCTGCAGTAATTTCATTGTTGGGGTTATGATTAAGAAAGAAATTGGTGGATCAACGACTCCACGACAAAGTCTCAAGTTAAGTTCTGCCAGATTTTTGCTTTCGGACAAGAGAGTCTGAACTCCAAATTTGTGCAACTTTGATCCATCTATGTTGAATACCCTGAGCTGCAGCAGATGTTCTGCTATAATCGAAGCGTTGTTCTCATCTAGAATGAAGTGTAAACGACTTGCTGTTGAGGATAAAGGTGAGGCAAAGATGTGTAATTTAGTCAGGTTCTTGCAATTGGATATTCTTTGAAAGAAACGATCCGAACAATCATGTGCAAGTGGTCCAAGGGACAACTCTTCAAGCTCTCCCCAGTTTTTTTGGATGATCCTTGAAACACGATCTATAGTGATATCACATGCTTCTGGTAGCTCCAGCTTTCTAAGCTTTGGTGACCTAATCAAGTTCAGTAAAAAATAATAAAATCGTATCAGAAAAAAAAATTATAAATCACATTAAAATCAATACAAATCAACAGTCTGAATTCAATTTGTGTTAAATTTACAAGCATGCATTTAATTTAAAATCAATTGATAGAGCGATATATAGTGGGGAAGGTTCCTGTTGCATCGAATTGTCAGTTGGGTATTCGATGCAGTGAGAAACCATCCCTATCATACCTCAACCCACAGCCATAGTTCGATACATACGAATGCATTGCTATATGTAAAAAGGGATAAAACACGGTCTACCATTCAGCAACAAAAGCCAAATGGTAGTGTTTCATATCCATACGAGCAGAAAATATGATGTTTCTAATACGTACAGGGCAGCAGCCTTCCTTTGTATCCCATTTCATCACATAATCGAGTCCTTGAAGCAGAGGCTGTTCATGATGATGATTTATTATTTTGAAAGGTCCAGAGAAATATTATTGCTAAGAGGGAATGTAAAGATGTAGTCAGGATAATCATTTGCCTTAGAGGGGCCAACCAGGGACCTCAATGAGCTTATCTCATGTGTCTCATGGTCCTTCCAAAACAAAACCTCCCAACATGCTAACTTCCAGTTATGGCAACCCAAGGTAGCTGAATGGATCAAATCTTTAGTAGGCAGGAATCGAACTATTTGTTGCAAAAGGTTGTCGTCCATACCTCCCCACTTGGGTTGAACTTGTACCATCTCCTTATTATAACTAGTCTCCGATATATGTTTTTTCCTTCCCATCCTGGTATTAGCAATCGTATCAAAGTTTTAATCTGTTCAGAATGGCTGATATTGGGGCAGTCTTGTTTTTTAGAAGAAGAAAAATAGAGAAAGTGGGCTTCAGCATGTAAGCTGCGGAACCTTTACTCTACGTATACTGTTGTTAATATAAGTCTAGTTCTATGCTGAGTAGGATTTATAGTTGTAAAATTAATAGGACACATTTTCAATAATAATTATGGATTAAATTATGTAATTAGTCTTTATATTTTATAAAAAAATATGAATTTAATTCTTATACAATAATTTGCATAAATCAAATATTTATATTTTTCGAATTTATTAATTTCGATCTCCAACTCTAATACCATTAAATTTTACCGATAAATATATTAATGTGGTATTTTGACCATGTTAGGATTGATTTTTTCTCTTAAATGCATGAATACATTCTTTCTCTTTTAATTTTTTTGACAATGTATGTTAATTTAGAGTTAAAGGTGTCTTCAGTTAAAACTTAAAGATTCTATCCATTAGTGTTTTTGCCACAATAACAGCTATCACATCAACATTTTTTGCCATGTCAACAAGCACAACATCAACATTATCATGCCATCTCATATATAATCAAAGCCACGTCAACAAGAAATAAGATCTCAACTTAGTCAAAATGTGAAGTCATTAATTTAATGATGAAATTTAACGGTGTTAAAGTTAAAAGATTAAAATTAACAAATTGAAGAAGTATAAGGATTTAATTTTATCAAATTATTGTATAGATATTAAATTTATATTTTTTTATAAAATACAAAGACTAATTGTATAATTTAACTATAATTATATAATTAAATATTTAAATAAATCTTATATTTTTATTACGTTTAATCAAGTTCTTAAATTTTTATTCTGAATCCCTCTAAATTAAGTCATTGATGCTAATTATGCCCAAGATAGCAAAAGCCATCATTAAAATTGAAATATTGGAAGAAAAAATGGGCATCTTTTGTTTAAATTATGAGCTATGCTTACTCTCTCTTTTTGGTTTTTTTGAATTCATATGCTTATTCATTTTTATTGATTGTTCTCTTGTGGTGAAAATATATTTATGGTTTTGTAGGGAAATAAGCACATCTGAAACACAATCCAAGTTAGATTGGATAGTTAAGGCTATTGAATAATAGTCATTAAATTTAAAGGTTTTTATTTCAACAATTGATCAAGAAAAAAAAAATTGCAACCTGTTTACTTATTTAACAGATTTTAAAAAAATTAAGGTAAAATATCTAAAAAGTCCTTAATTTATTCATAAAAATTCAAATAACCTTTTTATATTTTTATTGTACTCAATTAAGTTTTTATATTTTTATTTTAAATTAAATAAATATTTATATTTATATTTTACATTAAATAAATTTTTATAATTAATGATTAACTTAATCAATATATTCATTGTCATTATATGTTGTATATAATTGATATAATATGATATATTAATATATTATAATTAATGATGATTTGATATACTACATTATTATTATAATATGACTATGTAGTATTTTTTATTTTTTACATTTATACTATGTAAGTATCATGTAAACATAAAATAATAAGTAGTATTTTGATTAATAATAATTATTTAATTATTAATTATAAAACTTTATTTAACCTGAAATAAACTTATAGAAACTTAATTGACCGTAATAAAAATTTATGTAAATTTTCTTAAATAGTTGAAGGATGAGATTTTATAAGCGTTTAAGTAACTCTTAACAAAAAAATTAATAATTCCAAGGAAGCCCCTAAAAAATGAACATTTTGGATCATTTACCAATAATTTAGCCCTGGTTCCGCACAACGTGCAAACGTTAAAGCTTAAGACGGTCTCCGCATTTCGTCTCTCAATTCCCTCGGGTTTCAATATCACTTTCTTCTTATTCTCATCAAAAGATTGTTCCTGCACCAGGTAAATTATGGTTCCCTTTCACTTAAAGCCAAAACCTCTTTTGTTCTTTTCTGAAATTTGTTGGGTTTGGATTTTTCTTTTCAATTTTGTTAAGGATGTGAATTTTATTCGGGTTTTGATGAAATAGAAACAAAATGGCGAATTGGGTTTTCGGTTATAGTTGTTTTGTGGCAAAAAAGGTTTCAAAAAAGCTTCAAATTTGGTGCCTTTTTTGTTTCTGTTGTAATTCAATCATTGGAAAGACAAATTTGTTTTGTTTTATTAGTTACTTGCATTTAGAAATTAAGCAAATTGCTAATGGTTTAATGTGATTTCCATCTTTGTAGCTTTCGGTGGTGATGCTTTGAGGTTTAAGCAGGAACTCATTAAGAGATTTAATGAAATTTAGGTGTAGAGTTTGATGCAATCAAGTTCTTTTCTTCGGTGAGTTTTTGATAAAGGTCTCGGTTTTTGGTGAGTTGAAATGAGTGTTGTAGGTTTTGATATTGGAAATGAGAACTGTGTTA